AAAACTTAGTTTGGTGGAGAGGTGTGGTTGAAGCCTTTTGCTCCCCAGTATCCACACAGGACTAGTAATACAAAAAGAAGATTTGTGAAGCTAGAAAGACAGCAGTGAGATTTCGAGCTGTAAAAAATGAATTGGCAAGGACGTGGGTAATGGTTATAGTTGGAGTTACCTACAATTTAATAAATGAAGAAACTTTTAGTATAATTCACATTTTAAAATTTAACATGAAATTTAGTATCAATTATTGGACAATATGGTTTAGGACAGGTGTCGGCAACCTTTTGAGACGGAAGAGCCAAAAGTTCCAATTTACAAAATCTTATAATTTTTAAAGAGTCACTAACATTTTTATTTCAATATTTGGTATTTGATTAGGATTAGGTAAATAGATTTGTTTTGTTATTTAAAATAAATACCCTTAAATATGAAATAATATTTATTCATATAAAAACATACACGTTTCGCCAGAATAATAGTCAAATAATAAAAATATAGGACTATCTAATCCACTTTAGAAGCTGTTAACTTTTTTTTTTCTTTACGGACATCACCGGCTCAGGAGGTGTCTCCCATTAGCCAGTCAGGCCTCAACACGGCAAACTCAGACTAACTGGTTTGGATATCGGTTTGAATAACTTGCATCGTTCGCTTCTATCCTTTGGTTCTCAGTAGGGTTATCTTCCATCCCACTGAACGCAGGGTAAACTCGTACACCACCGTCCAGAAAAATTGAATTATATAACTATTTATATTTGTACAAGGAGCTGGAGAGCCGCATCTGGACATCAAAAGAGCCGTATGCGGCTCGCGAGCCGCAGGTTGCCGACCCTTGGTTTAGAAAGATTATAAATAACAAATCTATATTTTAGCAGTAACAGGTTAACAGGCTACTTATAAAGTAAAACAATATTTGATTTAAACACAGTCATGTAAGTCACATCCTGTTGACAGAAAAAAACTACTAAATCATAAATAACGTGTTCAAACCATAGTCAGCTATGATAGCCACAGATCCCAATTCCCAATCAGTTAAATGAAGAGACGTGTTGATGTTTTTGTTTACAAAGCGTTTTAAGTAGAGATAACTAGGGATGTAAGAAATATTGAAATTATTTTCTTGTTATCCCCCTTAGAATGGATAATCAAAGCTGGAAAATCAGTACAAAAAATGAGATATTTTATATTCTCTACTTATGTAATATTGCATGTATTTATCTTTTATTGCTTTTAACTAATAATACTATAATTTATAGAATGTATTGATTCTATATAAATAAACTTAATACTTTTATAGATTAAATCTTGTAGATTGAATTAGAGTCAAGTGAGAACACCAACCAATCAAAGACGTGTACGATCAAAACAAAAATGACGTCACTATTTTTTTTCTTTTTTATAAAAATCAGGTCACGTTTGGGTGATTTGTGCATCCCGCGTTTGGGTTGGGCTGATAACGTCTTATGTGGTCAGTAGACCGTAAAGTACAGCGGGTTTGGGGATTAACAAGTTGGTCTTATACATAGCTAGAGATGGGGCGGTTGTGGTTGAATCCAGTATGTAAGAAAAACGTAACCTTGTAAACCATTACTATCAGATAATGCTCACATAACACGTCCCAAAAATGTGATATGTATGATCCATCCAACTTCAGCGGTAGAGCGCTACGCCGCTATCCCGAGAGTATCGAATTTAAATCCGGGTTCAAGTCAGTTGAGTCCAACCAGCTATGATGGGTACCTAACTCAGATTAGTGAAAATAAAGGAAGCGGGTTGGAGTGCTAATAACACTATTCCGTCACATGCCGACGTCACAAAAATAGATTAACTCTACTTTGCTTGGCCGAAAAGGGAATTTAATTCATTTGTATAATACCATTTATCACTTACTGTCATTCTGTGTCGGACCCACCCCCAACCTACCACAATGCCAAGATAAAATGTATTACTACACAATGTGTGGTATACAGTTTATGTAAAGAATATGTGCAAAAGCCAGATGATCAGCTTTATTTAAGCAACTATTCTCAAAACCGGTTCTACATGACTGGCTACAGGTGTAACAGTTGAAAATACTAACTGTTAGAAAAGGTTTAAAAACAAGATATGAATCATTTCAACCAGCACACGAAAACATCACTACCTTGTGTGGTTGTTGACGCAGGACGCAAAAGCACATGATAGATTGTTTGGTGAAGTTAATGTTAGGGGACTTCGTTAAACGCATAGAGTTAGGATAATTATTCGTGTATGTCGTGATTTTAAAGGAGCGGATGAAGCGTAACAATGGGCACAAATGTGTAAGTAGTTTAAGGTAGTTTTTTGTTTTGATTTTTAGCTGATATGTTTCGAATGTATGAAGAAAACAAAGATATTCTTGATTAGTCAAAAACGTTTTTTTACAAGTATCTGAGATAAAATTGGGTTTTGGTTAATTAAAAAAAATGTATTTAGGAATAGGGTTAAATTTATAGTTAGAACAGAGTCTAGTGATCCAAAACATTGCGTACACTTTTTGTAAATAACAGTAAGTTCTTGTTGCTTAGGAATTGCTGATGAAGTAGAGTATATCTGATTTGTTTATTTAGGGGTGTATAGGGATTATGTGGTCATGACTTAAACAAGTTATCTTCTTTTTCGACTTAAATTAGCAACGTATTATAGATATATGGGTTTGATTACATGCGGACTCGAACCCTTTCAAATCGAATTGAATACTTGTGTGTTTACCATTAAACCGTGCTGTTCATATGGCTAATACTTTGCGAATTGAAAAGCCTCTAAATGGGTTGGATTACAATGCTATATTTTTTTCAAAATGAAATTTTAAAAAATATCAAAACGTATATAAAGGGAAGTAAACTACTAATGAACATGTAATCAACACTATAATCAACACAGAAGGTTATTGGCTGGACAACATACACTCACATACACAAACACGAACACACACCTACCTGTGGTTCAAGCTCAGAAAATACTATAAAAAGCAAAAGACATGTGAGCTGAGGCGTGACTTTTTTTTAGACGTGTATGATAAAGTTGTCTTTTGTACACGGTAGGAGATGGACAGGTGAAGTAGAGTTCACTTGTTTCTGTGACCTCAGATTTGAGCAGCATGCTCAGTTGAAATCGATATTTTTGACAGACAAAATCATGTTGGCCAAGGTATAACGTTTTTATAGATGTGGGAATCTGGCTTTTTTAACGATGTGCCACAGTAGGGAGAGGGACGGGGAAGATAAAAATAAAAACGTCAAACAAACGTGACGTCATTTTTGAATGCCCCTCCCCCCCCCCCCCCCCTTTTAACCGGCAGTTGACCAAAGGATTATTAGTGTTCTACTTGTTTCTATACCCATGTCCCATGCGCTCACTTAGTTCTTTATATATTTTCTCAGTAGCATGATCATAATCAGTCTAGAAGCATATTATTTTTATTATATTATCTATAACAGAAAACATTTGGAATTAGTACTCGTAACTGGGTAAGGGAAATCTAATTGCACGATAGTAAATAAACAGAAACATGACAATTAATTGTGTAGTTTATATTTTGTAGTTTACATTAGATACCATAGCATATGGTAACGTTTAAATGTTACCATTATGGGCCGTGAATAAATGGTGTCTCAAACAAAAGATGGGCGGGGTTCAGACTTTTGTAGCGAGTGGTTGTTTAGGAGAGATGGTGTGAATCAACTAGTCTTAGTAAGACATTGTGTCTTAAATCTTGACGTCTACAATGATAATAAAACTGTTAATTTATGTGGGAATTATTTTACGTGGAAGGTATGTCGACAGGGGGTAAGGGGAGGTAACTTTTCCCCCCAAAATGTAGTTATGTCCCTTTCTCTTATACCGCCGGGAATAAATTAGAATCAAAACAATTACGACCTTATCTCATGGTATTGCGTATGTACACGTTACACATCAATCTATTTTTATGACCATCAATAACCCGGACTCTATGACGACTAATTGTTGACAACTGTGTGATCCAGAGCGTGACCGTCTTCACTAGAGCTGACATTGACGGATCACTGAAGACGCACCTTTTTTGTTAGTTAACGTTCTGTGTTGTCTCCCTTTGACTTTAATTACACGGTGTTGTAAAAACGAATGTGTGTCTCAGATTCTAATATTAAGTTCTTTTTAAATGGCGTCACTTTTTGTTGGTAATTTTTTCACTTGAGTCTTTTTATTCACAAAAATGTAAAAACAAAAGCTTAAGCCTAACTTGAGAGTGATTAAGCCATGTATTTGACTACGATCTTTTATCTAAATCAAAACATTAGAAGCGATCTTAAAATACTAGTAATATTTAAACCCATCCCCTACCTTTTATTTTCAGCTTTGATAGCTATTAGATACTCATATTAATCTTGATAATTCCGAAATCTATGACAGATAAATAAATAGTATAGCTTTCAATCACATATTACGCCACTATGCGTTCGATTAAAATCTGAACCTAGGTTTGTCTAACCCAAGTGTACCAGATTAGGATTGTATACTAAAATGCGATTTTTAAAAAGTAAAAACAATTATTTTGCCAAAGCGTTGTGCGTTGTCTGACATGCTTTACGTCACAGCCTTTAGTCCTACATTTAAATAATCCTTAAGCTTTTCTTCATACATTTTCATCATATCCGTACATAGACAACACGGATTTAGTATTAAGCAGATTGATAAAATCGACATAGTTCACTCTACCCACGTAAACAGCACACACGACTAGTTCATACAGCTGTTTTTATACAACGTCAAACGTTAGATATAAATAGAACAGCTAGCTGTAAATCATGGTGTGAAGAATAACACTCCTATTCATAAACACAAGTGATACAATATCCACATTGCATAAATCATGTCTGGATCACTCAAGCGTTGATAGAGTGTATGTGCCCTATCATAAACCAACCAGCATAAATTAAGCCTAGTCTGGCATCGAAATACCTTGAGACCAGGTCTAGGTGTGTGTACCAGCAGGTAGACACATAGGGACATAGATTCTATATCCTTATTTTTAAATCATAACTCCAAGATAAAGTTAAAATATATGTTAAACGAAGATGTAAATCTGTGTGTATGTTTTACTGCAATAAAGTACAAGAATAGATTAGTTTAACTAGTTTAAAGGAATAAAATGTTAGTACTGATATAGTGTTATGCAACATGACTTCAATGATAACGGAATTTACCAGGTAAAATTCACTTTGATATTGCATACTTTATAGCCGTAGGTAATATAATAATTTATATATATATATATATATATATATATATATATATATATATATATATATATATATATATATATGTACATATGTACATATGTATATATATAAATATATATATATATATATATATATATATATATATATATATATATATATATATATATATATATATATATATATATATATATATATATATATGAGAGAGACAGATATATATATAGAGAGAGATAGAATGATAACGTGATAATAAGAGAGAGATGAATATCTGTATTAATATGCAGTTATACTGCGACCGTAATTCAGCCTGCTAATATTATGTCTAGTAGAAGCCAAATCTTTCTTTACGGTAGGGTTCAACCTTACTCTATAGGTGTGTTTTTTTGTGTATGGGTAGGGTGTAGTGAACGGTGAAAAAGGTATGTATGTATAGTGGAGGTATGATGTACAAAATGTTGAATACTTACACACACGCATTCACATAACTGACGTCCACATACAAAATGCATGTACTTCACAGCGTAGACTCCATTGTAGACAAGTTCACCAACGCTGTACTGAAACAGCCGGTGAAAGGCGAGGACGTTGTTGACAGGCTGCACCATTTCGTCACAGTCGGTCTCATGATCGTGTTCGCCATTGGCATCGGTCTACAGGTGAGTGGAGCTTGACGGTTTTGGTCTCGTGAAGAACTGCTGGTCACGTGATTAATTAAAGGTCACGTCATGGACGGTTGGTCACGTGATGGACGGTCGGTCACGTGATGGACGGATGGTCACGTGATGGACGGTCGGTCACGTGATGCGCGGCTGGTCACGTGATGGACGGTCGGTCACGTGATGGACAAATAGTCACGTGATGGACGGATGGTCACGTGATGGAAGGTCGGTCACGTGATGGACAATTAGTCACGTGATGGACGGTTGGTCACCTGATGGACGGTTGGTCACGTGATGGACGGTTGGTCACGTGATGGACAATTAGTCACGTGATGGACGGTTGGTCACGTGATGGACGGTCGGTCACGTGATGGACGGATGGTCACGTGATGGACGGTTGGTCACGTGATGGACGGTTGGTCACGTGATGGGCGGCTGGTCACGTGATGGACGGTCGGTCACGTGATGGACAATTAGTCACGTGATGGACGGATGGTCACGTGATGGACAATCGGTCACGTGATGGACAATTAGTCACGTGATGGACGGTTGGTCACGTGATGGACGGTTGGTCACGTGATGGACGGTTGGTCATGTGATGGACAATTAGTCACGTGATGGACGGTTGGTCACGTGATGGACGGTCGGTCACGTGATGGACGGATGGTCACGTGATGGACGGTCGGTCACGTGATGGGCGGCTGGTCACGTGATGGACGGTCGGTCACGTGCTGGACAATTAGTCACGTGATGGACGGGTGGTCACGTGATGGACGGTCGGTCAAGTGATGGGCGGCTGGTCACGTGATGGACGGTTGGGCACGTGATGGACGGTCGGTCACGTGATGGACGGTCGGTCAAGTGATGGACGGCTGGTCACGTGATGGATGGTTGGTTACGTGATGGACGGTTGGTCACGTGATGGACGGCTGGTCACGTGATGGACGGTTGGTCACGTGATGGACGGCTGGTCATGTGATGGACGGTTGGTTACGTGATGGACGGTTGGGCACGTGATGGACGGCTCGTCACGTGATGGACGGTTGGTTACGTGATGGACGGTTGGACACGTGATGGACGGTTGGTTACGTGATGGACGGTTGGGCATGTGATGGACGGTGGGTTACGTGATGGACGGTTGGTTACGTGATGGACGGTTGGGCATGTGATGGACGGTTGGTTACGTGATGGACGGTTGGTCACGTGATGGACGGTTGGTCACGTGATGGACGGTTGGTCAAGTGATGGACGGTTGGGCACGTGATGGACGGTCGGTCACGTGATTGACGGTCGGTCACGTGATGTACGTATATCTAGCAGATAAAGTGTCCATCCGTGGTCAATTGTCCTGCAATACATTTTTCAAACAACTCAATTTAAAACTGTATATTTTGCATCGGTCTATACATGGACAAAAATCTTGTTATGTTTTTATTTATTTTTTGCGATGGTCTCATATGCAGGGTTGACTAGAGAGACATACCGCCCTTTATACTCCCCTCCTCCAAAATACCACCACGACTAAAAAAAAAGAAACCTGTTAAAAGAAAAAAAAAGCAAGAGAATTCTTTGTAAAGGGTCTCTGCTTTTTCCGGAATTTAGCTTAAATTAACTTTCGGAATAGTTCTAGAGTTTAGATAAATTCCCTAAGCGTCACTGGCCATGGAGATTCAACTCGGATTATTGTGGGAGCCAATGTAAGAAAGCTTGCTGGCAACGGTATTCTGAAATTTAATAGGGTTATGGTTAATGTATTTAAAACAAAAGACTCGTATGGATTGTGTTTTGAATATTATAGGTTTGTTTTTTATCATCATGGGGCAGATGAAGTAGAGTTCATCTGCTTCAGAGACCCCGGCATATGAAGGTATAGTGTGGCCAGCACTATGCCCAGCCGCTTTTTATGGTTTCCCATCAGAGGAATTTGAACCAGGATTCGAACACGAGACTCGAGTTAGCATTCTAGCTCTCTACCGCTAGAGCACGCCGTCCTTGGTTGTGTAAGTAAGAGCTAAGTATCTCTGATAGAAAGAATGCCAGGAGTCAAAATTATCGTAAATCTGACAGGGTTAGGTTTAATATATTTGTGTTTTTGTAATAATGGGCTTAGTTTCTCTGAATGAGAGTATATCAAGTTTCAGGAATATATTTTTAAGCCTATACTAAATAGCCAGAAAAATGTCGGTAGCGCTTACTCTATGAGCAGGTTGTAATGGTGGATGAATGGTGTATCTGCAGGAATACGTGGGTAAACTTTAAGCTTAAACCAATGGTGTACCTCTGTAAGTTTTAAAGGTAAGCCGATGATTGTTCGTCTGAAAGCTTTAAGGGTAAGCCAATGATGTACGTCTGTAAACTTTAAGGGTAAACCAATGGTGTACGTCGCTAAGCTTTAAGCGTAAACAAATCATATCTATATATATAATTCTCCTCTTCGAGCCGTTAGAAAACAAGCTGCAAACGCTCTCCCTACCTCCCCACCCCTACATGGTTTTAGTGAGCTGTGTTCACTCTAAATGTTTACAAGCAGAGCCAACGATTTTAAACGTAGGGGGGGGGGAGGAGGAAGGGGGGGGTTATGGTCCTTAACGAGCTACTTATAGTGTTTTAAAGAAATATTTTCAGTGTCAGCGTTGGTACTGTCGAATTCACAAATTATGAATTATTGAAAATTAGAAACAACTAAATAGCGGCGTATGTTATGCCGCGGGCCGGCTCGTACATTATAAAGCTTTAAGGGTAAACCAACGATATATCCCCAGGAGTACGTCGGTAAGCCAATCAGCTGTTGGGCGCCCAAAGGTTTTCCTGAGGACAGTTACAGAGAACACATCAACAGCTACTGCTGGACGCACAAGCTACGCTACCCGCAGTACGAGAGGGAGGGGGGAATCAATGACACCCAAGGTAATGGGTTTAAGTCCTTTCGTGTCATATGTGCTACCCACAGTACGAGAGGGAGGGGGTGCCCAACTACACCCAAGGCAATGAGTTTGTTAAGTCATTTCTTGTCATGATATGTGCTACCCGCAGTACGAGAGGGATGGGGTAATCAATGACACCCAAGGTAATGGGTTAAGTACTTTCATGTCATATGTGCTACCCGCAGTACGAGAGAGAAGGGGTGCTCAACGACACCCAAGGTAATGGGTTAAGTACTTTCGTGTCATGATATGTGCTACCCACAGTACGAGAAGGAGGGGGTGCTCAACGACACCCAAGGTAATGAGTTTGTTAAGTACTTTCTTGTTATTGATATGTTTAAGACACAGACTTGTTGAAGATTTATATTTTTATGTATTTTTGCAAATTATTATCTTTTATTACAAGGTTGGTGAGTATATTTGTTAGTGTAATCAACAAAAATATATTACGTTAAAGTCAGTTTATAGCTATTTACGACACAATATGTTTATTGTGTATTGCTAAAAGCTGACGTATCCCATGTTTCCAAAATTGCGTAGAGAAATTCACAAGTATTGATTTCTAATACTCGCGTTTATCACTAGGTTTGTATTTTTTTTTTAGTGTAATCAACAAAAACATCTTTAATTAAAAGTCAGTTTGTAGCTTTTTACATCTTAATGTATTGATTATTCTTTAGCCTTTGGAGGTGTCTTGGACCCATCACGCCCAGCCCCATTGGTAGACTTTGGCACCGCATTCTTCAGATGGGCTACACTCATCTTTATTTTACAAGTGAGTATGAGATTGTCACAATGGTAGCTTTAAAATGTTGACACTGTGTAGCAGAGTGGTCTCCCCTGGCAAGTGTGTAGGTGAGGGGAATGACTGGAGTGATGTGTGAACTGGAGTGGAGGTGACCGCTCGCTGGAATGGAAGAGTTGTGTTGTAAAAAAAACTGAAATTTCTTCTAGTGTGTAGTGGATCGAATGTATTCTTTTGGTTGAACCACATAAGAAGAGTTAGCTGATTGTGTTCTTTTGAACCGTTGTCCTACCAGGCTCAACGATTCGTAACGCATAATAGGACAGATGTAAAATACATAACTGCCATTTTCCCACGTTTTCTTTAACTTGCTTTCGCGTCTGTTTATTTGTTTATTTGTTTGTTTGTTTGTTTTTCCAATCAAATCTTGCGATCGAAATTTCGGGCACTTCCCAGTTAGCTAGCGCGCTGAATTTTTCAGGGAAGCTTTGTTTCCGATGACAATACAATATTCAATTATTATTATTACTAAATTGATCCATGGAAAAATGTTATTGATCATTTTAGACCCATATTGATTTGTACAAAAAAAACGTGGGGGAAAAGGGACATAACCTAGTAATTGTAATTTGATAAAACAAGATTCGGTACTTTCCCTCTTCTGGCTTATGATAGGTAAAGGCACGTGTTTTTTACGAATTGTCTTCGTTTACCCAAAAAAAAAGTGAATGCGAGAAGATAAAATCGATATCAAGATTTGAATGCAAACAAACAGACAAAGACTAAAAAGTAGAAAATAATTATCATTAAAAAAGTTTTTAAAAACCCACGTTTTCTGATTGAACTAAAAAGTAGAAAATAAATGCTATACATCACAATAATGCAAGCGATCACTCTACTATAAGCGATCGCTAACTGCGTGCGCATAATGACAAAAAATGAAAAACGTGGGGCGCCGTGATTTTCTTACAGTTTTTAATACTGTTGACTCTCTACAAGCTCCCTAATAAAACTCAATAGTATTATCTAATCAATAGTAATATAACTTTTACATCTTATATTAACAATTACCAATAAAAAAATTTTACTTCGGCGCCCCACGATTTTCATTTTTTGTCATAATGCGCACGCAGTTAGCGATCGATTATAGTAGAGTGATCGCTTGCATTATTGTGATGTATGGCATTTATTTTCTACTTTTTAGTTCAATCAGAAAGCGTGGGTTTTTAAAAACTGTTTTAATGATAATTATTTCTTATATTAGCGGAAATAAAACGGCCTTAAAATGTCTTAAAGTAATTTGTGTGTTAATTCTACAAACTTTTCGTTGTATCCAGTATAGAAAATAAAAATACAGGGACTATTGTATAAAATAGATAAAAATACAGGTATTATTTCGTATACGCGAATGTACATGAAAACTGTTATAAAGGATTATTATTTAGTTATATAAGTAAAGGAGTTAGTATGTATAAATAATACACATACATATCTACACCAGCTTTTCTAGTAAAATTGCAAGTAGATATCTAGTCTGTACTTTTATTTTTTCAGGCTTTTCTGTTTAAACTCCCGAACTTTATTTGGTGTCACCTCAGCTCAGCGTCCAACGCGGACATTCAGAAAATCCAAACCCTGGTCCAAGAGTCTCAGAACGCTGCCGACGACAACTCCAGGAAGCTCAAGAAAGACGAGGTCGTGGCGTACTTCGAGAACTGGATCACCGGACACCGGAACTACCGGTTCAAATTTGCCGGAAAACACTCAGCTAAACTTCTGTCGATTTTATTCTGTCTTGAAAAACAGTCAGGGAGTTATCTCTCATCGTTGTATATTTGCTACAAGTGTTTAAATATCGTGAACGTTGTTGGGAATTTCGGGATAATGACAGTGCTTTTGGATGTGAATTTTTGGAAGTACGGTCTGGTCGTGTTGAATAGTGTGTTTACATACGGGGACTGGCAGGATTCGAACAATTTCCCGCGTCTTCTGTTGTGTGATTTCGTCGTGGAAGGAAGCACTGGATCAAACCCCAGCGGGGGTAGTTCGACACCAGCCGAGTATAAAATTCAGTGCACAATGGCGTTGAATCTTCTGCTAGAGAAGGTTTTTGTCGTAGAGTATTTCTGGTTGTTGTTTTTATTCATCGTCACTTTTGTAAACATGGTGATCTGGGCGGTGAAAACGAAACCCCCATGCTCGACTATACTTTTCAGTAAAACGTTTATGAAAACCGTCCAATCATACCCATCTTTAGAGATCGGCATCGCCATGATGGCTTTTAAACCAACCAATGAAAACGCGTGTAAGAACGTTCAAAAAGATTTCATCGAAAACTATCTCAAAAGCGACGGAGTTTTAGTGTTACGTTTGTTAGAACAAAACTCGGATAAAATGTTGCTGTCGGAAGTTGTATGTGCATTATGGGATAGATACCGAGCAGTTCAAAAATATAAAGACAACTCGAATATGACGATATGTGACGAAACGAAATTGGATTCTGTGGGGGTAGTAGCAGTACCGGAACATCAAGAAAAATTGGAAGTTAATGAATAAAATATTTGTTTTTATAAAACTGGAATAAATCTAAAAACTTTTTATTTAATAACTTTTATTTAATATTTAATGCTTTGGAGTATTATTTATTACGTCAAAATCCCGAAAGACAGTTTTCGTTTGCCGTTTTCCTTATTGGATACTTTACTGTATGCGATAAATGCCTAAATGGACACTTGCCCGAAAGCGGAAAAATCACAAACGTCACTTACTCAAGTGCCTTTTGCCCGATTTAAAAAAAATCATATATTATCAAGTAGATATTCTTCATAAATTTTAATTTGACATTTCAATAATCAACATAATTCTAAGCATTAATAAAGCGGGAGTGATCTCCCTTGAACTTCTTCGTAAATTATTACTTTCTCGTATATACGAAGTATAGAGAAAGTCATGTAATCGTGCAAAAAGAAAATCCAGATGTTTACAAATCTCGACGTTTTACACCTCACTGATACGGAAAAACATAATTTTGCAATCTTGTCCGTATGTCTGTGTGTCTGCCTGTGTGTGTGTCTATCTGTCTGTGTGTAAACACGATAACTTGAGTACCGTTACAGCTAGGTTGATGAAATTTCATATATAAGTATTTTATCAAAATCGTAGATCCTGGTCAACTTTTGAACGATTTCCGATAACCGGAAGTGGTACTTTTTCTACTTTGAATTTTTCTAAAGCCTATAACTTAAGTACTATTTCAGATAGCCAAATGAAATTTCACGTGTAAGTAAAAGATTTTTATTTTCTACATTCTGTCAAATTTTGAGTAATTTCCGTTGACCGAAAGTACTAATTTACGCTATTTCCGATTTCTCAAAAAACGCATGTAAATTTATAAAGTACTAATAATATTGCGCACTATTATGCACATTTTGTTTTTGCGTTCGAATGTTTTTTTCTATGAGATTCTATTCTATTTTGAAAAGTTTAAGTAATTAAAAATCATGTCTATATTCCAAGTTATATAAGAATATTCGAGAAAGTTTAGGGGAGATCACTCCCGGTTTATTTTATTACATTAAAGTATAAGGCGCTAAAATTGTTTAGCTTAATTTTTGGTCAGACAATATTTAAAACATTGAAATACAAATTTAAACCGTATGTTTCCACATAAACCAATTATGTTTAATACCCAATTTTTTTCATTGTGTGAACGTTACTTCTGGATTTAGTGAAATAATGTGGTTTTAATTAATTTGTCTATGTAAGAATTATATGCTATTCCTAATACTTGTTTGCAAGCCTGGGTAGCATTCTGTTTTAGCTATTCTCACTTGAGTAAAAATATTGAACGTACAAAAAATTCCTCTGATACAACTCTATGTGTAAATTAGTTACAGGAATATATAATTTGATATCAAAATGCACACCACTGCGCTTGATAACTCACATATACAAAAATGTGCTGTAATAAGACTGGTGTAAGAAATCATTACGCGCAGCTTTATGTTGTGTGCTGATAAAATATTGAAAAGTACAAATTTGAACAATAGGTAGGAAAAGTGGTTCCAAAAGTGGTTCCACTTTGTGTTGCCAGAAAGCATATTTTTGAACCAAAATTGAATATTTTATACCATTTGTGAAATAAGTACAAAGTCACTTCCGGTTTTACTAAGGCTAGACATATTTTAAACACAAAATTACTAATAACATAATAGTAATTTACCAAACATTTTTATTTTTATTTGGATTAGTATAGTCAGGGTGTTGTGGTGCAAGGGGATGTTATATTATTTAATATAAATAAACTACTAGGCTATATTCCATTGTAATAATAAGTAAAGCGTAATTAATATCACCATTTTAATATAGGCCTAATCAATCTAGATCGACCTCTGAATATGGGGGTCATCTATTAACGATGTCACAACGATGCCAGACCTCCCCCTTCCCCAAAAAAGTAAACCTAACCCCCCCCCCCCCCCCCATTGCAGCGATTTTCATAAAATATTTAGACCTATGGGCTTTTCCAACATTCAATGTAGGCCTATTGATGAATCATTTTATAAAAATTTATAAAATAACTTTTAATAATGCAAATAAAGGCTTAAATTCAGTTTCTTAACATGAGTGTTTGTTAAACATGGAAAAGTGTCATTTTACTTTCTGAACCCCCTCCTACCCTTGACACAAAGGTTCAAATCTCCCCCACCACCTCAAAGTCTGATGGACGACCACTACAGCATTTTGCTATTATTTATAGGATATTCATTAATTAGTCATACAAACCAAATTACATTTGTTGCTGTGATGGTGTCTCTGTCATTACAATTATTAAATAGTTTATCTTAACATTTCCCCTAACCTCATTTGCTATAGCTGCCTATCCTTATAGTATAGAAAACATCTTTTCCTCAAATATCTGGAATGCATCTGATCAGCAACAATCTTTTTCTTTTGTAATATATAAACAATTACAAAATGTTCATAAACTTGCACAGCCAATAACAACACATTACCAGGAAACAGGCAATGATTACAGTTTGCTGTATTTGTGGTTGATGGTTAGTTATCAGCCATGCTCCACTAAGCCTGGTCTACATTTATATGCTTGTATGGCTAGAATTGACAAAAAACCATATTCTTGATTCTTCCCTTATCATTATGTTTTACATCTATGATAGATATATGCAAATGTAAGACTTAGAGTGGGACTACATATTTGTGAACACATTTGCTAAAGCAAAAGTTCTTGAGTTGAAATTTTAATCCTTTAGGTTGTCTCTGATTCAAATTCAAAGCAGCTTATAGACAGTAAAACTTAGTAAAAGTTGTTTGACATTTTGCTGACCATACAATTTATTAATATGGAGAGGCAACTTAACTAGGTGAAATCTACTTCAGCACCATATTCTTAAAAACTAGGTAGCGATAATTAGTTTCCGCTTACACCAGCACACACAACCAGTGCTGAAAAAAAAATAAACATAACAAAGTTAATGATTTTCTTTTTTTAATTACCATATTTATTCAGAACTAACATAATAAAAAATAGTTGTTCAATATGAACAAGTTTTCTTGGGTCCAAAATGTATCCATGGATCAGTTTTTTAATTGAGCTTCATCTTGACTTTTGTCTTCTCTGTATACAGTTGTATAATCCACAGTATCTAAAAAAAAACATAAATAAATTTCATAAACTGTTATATTAAACTCATTATGTTTACATACTTTCAACTCTTAATGTTATAAATATTTATCTGTCTTATAAAGATCATAAAGCAATGATGTGTATTGGATTGTATGGGCTATCTAACCATTACCACTCATTTAAAATATAGGTCTAATAGTTTACTTTTAATATTTTAATGTAATGAGTTTGTCGTTAAATACAATAGGCCTTCAAAAGAGTCCAAAAGTCATGTATATATCGTTAAAAAAAAAAGAAAAAGGTATCAATAAAGATCTACTACTTATGTTTAGCCACCTCAGGAATTAGTTGAAAATTGATATTCAAACTAGGCTGCTATAACTATCATTAATTCATACACATACTAGAATAAATATTAGGTTAATTATATTAATTTGATTAGTAAGTTAATCCATCTATGACAATTGACACCTTTTGGCTTTATCAAATATTCTGCATTTTAAGTTCTAAAGATCATATATTAAGTTAATTAAGTAGAACTAAAATAAGACAGCTCTTCATTAGTAAGCCTGCTCTTCTATTCAGTAATTTTTACTATTATTATTAGACGCCTAAAATTACTGTTAGACTTACTAATCTAGATTAACTTAAATTTTGGATATTATTTAATGTACTAGTCTGTAGCCTTTTATTTAGGCTACATGTAATTTTTACATTTTAAAATTGTAGCCTTATTAAGCCTAGTTAACTTTGTTTAACTTACATACCAATACTATATACCTACCCTATCACAGGCCTACTTGACTATTACTAAGCTACTACATCTAAATCTACAGTCTAGGTAGGCCTACTGAAACTAAAAGTAATATGACAACTGTAAAAATGAAGCATACTTTATTTTTACAATACTATTTTAAGCCTATAGACCTACTGCTATTAAATATGAATCTATTAGTTATTTGACTAACATAAGTCATCATAAGTCTAATTAGTAATTACCTCTAACTATGCCCTAATCATAATAAGAATAACAATGTAATTGAAGTAGGCCTATTAGGACTGTCATCTGCCTAAATTATCAAAAATAAAATGTATTTTGTACAGATGTAGTAATTTAGTAAGTAGGCTATTAACTATTACAATTAAATTAATATAGAAATTATTGGCCTACTAAATAATTGATTCACTAATGTTATGATTTTGCAATTCTGAGGTTGTGTGTATTATAATATACCTAGTAACTGTATAGAGTAACTATACTTACTAATACTACTAGTAACTACTACTAAAGTAAATATATTTTAACAATTATTTTAACTAATTAGACTAATCATTTATTAGACTAGGTGTATGTAGTGCCCTACTAACTAATTACTAAGATTAACCATTTACTATATGACTAGTCTCTAAAACTAGTCTATCCTAGCTATACATTTATAATATAAACTATGGGCCTAATTTATTTAACTTATCTATTATTACTATTAAATTAAAATACTTGACTTATTTAATATAGATTTTTATAAAATATATAATATTATATAACTTCTAGATCTAGACTAGAATAGATCTCTACTATTTGACTTATACTTAATAGATCTACTGACGTACAATATATTAATATAAAGTTACTTAACTAACTATAAAAAGATCTATTCTATAGAATATAGATCTAGATCTAGTTAGTATTAGTATTTTTGAAATATTGAGTATTAAGTATTAAGATTAAGTTTATAAATTAGAATAGATCTACATCTAGTATTTTTATATTTAATAAATAATTAAACATATTAAAAAGCCATAACATACTAGAAAAGCTAGATCTACTACTAGACTAGAAATTATTTTTTCATATTTCAAATGTCGTGTTTCTGTATGTGTGGTATGTGATTTTGAAACACAACATCGAATAATATACCTTTCTCTCTACAACATAGTATTAGCTGGCGACTG